CTGTGCGGAGTGGGGAATCGGGGGGCACAGACAGGCACCCCTTGCTGCCCACTCCCAGCCCCCCTGTGGGCATGCACCATCCTCATTTAAGGTGACCAGACGTCCCGCTTTTGGTGGGACAGTCCTGATTTGCAACGATTTGTCCTGCGGCATTTTTAAAAAGTCCCGATGTTTGGAAAGATTTTTGGATTTGCGACTTTTTAAAACGCCGTGGGACGTGGGACGAATTGTTAAAAAGCGGGCCGTCTGGTCACCTTATCCTAATTACCCCGGCTGGGCGGGCGGGCGGGCGGGCGGGCGCCTGGGACACAGCGGCCGCATTGAGGCCCCCGTGTCCCCTGGCGAGAGGTAGGGTTTCGGCTGCGCCCTGGAGGACGCGGGGTATCGGGTGCCACGTTCCAGGAACGGGCCAGGTGCCCGACGCCCCGAGCCGTCCAGGGAACCAGGCGGGGACGGGGCTGCGGACACTCGGCCCCCACGGTTGGAGGCCCCGCGTGGAGCCTCACGGAACCGCCCGCCGTGAGGAGGCGAGAGCCGGGGGCTAGACCACTGCGATCTCTTTTGTTTTTGTTTGAAATATATTCGAACTAGTCCTGGCCGGTGGGCTCAGCGGATAGAGCGTCGGCCTGCGGACGGAAGGGTTCCGGGTTCGATTCCGGCCGAGGGCATGTGCCTCGGTGGCGGGCACATCCCCAGTGGGGGGTGTGCAGGAGGCAGCTGATGGATGTTTCTCTCTCATCGGTGTTTCTAGCTCTCTATCCCTCTCCCTTCCTCTCTGTAAAAAAATCAATAAAATATATTAAATAAATAAAAAAGAGAATCCCGGGGGCAGTTCTCTCCGTCCTCGCTGAACCCTAGAGCTCCCTCGATGTACAGACGGGCTACCCAGGAGGCCCTGGGGCTGACAGTGGCTTTCTGACTCTTGCCAATCTTCCCTGGATCGGACCCAGCATGACTCAGAGAGGAAAGAGCTCCTGGAACACTCACTCACCCCCGAGCACTCCTCCGTCCATTTTAAAAGTCGGGATGACTAGCCGAAGCCGGTGTGGCTCAGTGGATAGAGGTTGGTCCGCGGACTGATAGGTCCCGGGTTCGATTCCGGTCAAGGGCATGTACGTTGGTTGCGGGCACATCTACTGTCGGGGATGTGCAAGAGGCAGCTGGTCAATGTTTCTCTCTCATCGACGTTTCTAGCTCTCTGTCCCTCTCCCTTCTTCTCTGTAAAAAAAAAAAAAAATCAATAAAATATATTTTAAAATAAAATAAAATTATATATATATAAAAAGGGGATGACCAGCTCCTGGGAATGACCTCTCCTCCGGTGACGGGCAGGCTTCCCCCGTGGGCTTGGGTTGCATCACCGAGTGGTCACGACGGAATTCTTGAGGGTCTCACCAGCCGGGCAGACCACAGTGTGCAGGCGCACGCTCCCAAGGCACCTGGCCCAGCACGTGTTGACATTTAGAAAGAAAATGCAGAACCTGCCCCATGTAAACCGGCCTCTGTGTGTAAGGCTGGCGGACACCTGAGAACCACAAGAGTCTCAGTCGCACCAAAGACGCGGCAGTAAAAATGCAACTCAGCACGAACTCCTGCAAAGCAGGACATTAGCAAACGAAAAAGTCTGACGTTGAGTAAACTGCAATACATCTGTATCCCCGGGGACTGTTAACTGGCCCGAGGGAAGGTTTTCCTGTGCCCCTTAACCTAATCTAAAAGGCTTCCAATGGGCTTGCATCATTAAAAAAAAAATGGGGGGGAAGCCGAAACTGGTGTGGCTCAGCGGATAGAGCGTCAGCCTGCGGACTGAAGGGTCCCGGGTTTGATTCCGGTCAAGGGCATGGACCTTGGTTGCGGGCATATCCCCAGTGGGGGGCGTGCAGGAGGCAGCTGATGGATGTTTCTCTCTCATCGATGTTTCTGGCTTTCTATTCCTCTCTGTAAAAAAAAAAATCAATGATTAAAAAAAAGGACAATAAAACATTTTTTTAAAAAATTGCTTTCAGAGAGGAAGGGGGTAGAGAAACATCAACAATGAGAGAAAGTCATGGATCAGCTGCCTCCTGCACGCTCCCCCCACTTCCCACCAAGGATTGAATCCACAACCCGGGCATGTGCCCTCCCCAGGAGTTGAACTGTGACGTCTTAGTTCATAGGTTGACACTCAACCACTGAGCCAGGCCAGCAGAGCCTCTACTGACCTCTTCCCATGTGTTTTCTTTCAGTTTGTCTCCCTCTGGTGGATTTTTTTTTTTAAAGACTTGCTTTTATTTTCAGAATAACTGAATTATTTGGGACCGTGAAGAGGGAAGATTTTGATGTAGGGAGATCCCTGGGATGGGGGAACTGAGGCCAGAATGCAGGTGTGGGACCCCTGTTTCTCTGAGGCCAGAGCTAAGCAGGGGCTTAACCCAAGGGAATGAGGTTGGAAACTAAGAAAAAAATGACCAGCAGGGTTGGTAGCTGCCTGCAGATGCAATTGGTTTCTGAGGTCGTTCGTTTATAGAATCCCGTTTCACGCAACAATCTCGCATTTCCATACACATCGGCTACTGCAGCTCTCACAGATACTTGACAGTTGCCTGTATTCGGTTAAAATATTTGTCAATTATTTTGACGTATAGCAACCAGTCACATTTTATTTATTTAAAAAGTTATTTTTCTATTGATTTCAGAGTCGAAGGGAAAGGGAAAGAGAGAGATAAAAATATCAATGAAAGCCTGACTGGTTTGGCTCAGGGGATAGAGCGTCGGCCTGCGGACTGGGGAGTCCCGGGTTCGATTCCGGTCAAGGGCATGGGCCTTGGCTGCGAGCACATCCCCAGTGGGGGGTGTGCAGGAGGCAGATGATGGGTGTTTCTCTCTCAATATATATTTTTTTCTTTTCTAAAATATATTTTATTGCTTTTTTTACAGAGAGGAAGGAAGAGGGAGAGTTAGAAACACCCATAAAATATATTTAAAAATCAAAACAAAATACACATCCAGCGGGCGCTTCCGGGGGGTGGGGTGGGGTGGGCGGGAGGTCGCAAAGGCGTGGCGCCGACGCGCCGGTTCAGCAGCCAATCAGAAGGCGGGGCCGGCGCGACGTCAGCGGCAAGGCCAGTCCGATTGCCACCTCCGGCAGCCAATCAAGAGAAGGCGGCGCCGACGGGGCCTCAGTCGCTCATCAATACGCGACGCCCGGCAGCCAATCAGAGCGCGGCTTCCGGTAGCCAATCAGAAGGTGGCGCGCCCGGTTCAAATTGTGGGCAGCGGGCAGCGGGCGGTGAGTTCGCGGACACACGGTGTCCGGCCTTCTCCGCGGCGGGGGGCGTGCGAGGTGGGGGGCCCGTGTGGGGTGCGAGGTGGGGGGCCCGGGGTGGGGTGCGGCCCCGGGGGTGCGGGCGGTGGTCTGGGCTCAGGGCCTCCATGGAGTCCGGGGGGGGGGGGGGAGGGGGGAGGGAGGGAGGGAGGGAGGCCGGGCCGGCGGCCGGACCTCAGGCCCCGGACAGTCTCCCCGCCCTCGCCGTGACCCGCTGGGCCCGGAACCGCGGGGAGGCCGCCGGGGGGGGGCGGGGGGGCGGGGACTGCTCTCCCCGGGGTCCGGGCCGATGGAGAACCTGCCGAACCCCCACCCGTGGGTGAGAGCCGCGACGAGTCCAGCTGCGGCGGAATGGCCAGCCCCCCCCCCCCCCCGGGTGTCTGCCCAGGAGGAGGGCTGCCTGAGAGGCTTCCGTCCTGGGTGTGGTCTACTGAGACCTTTAGAAAGACTCCCCTAAAAATTAACCCCTGGTGTTTTTGTTCTTTTTTAAAAATATATATATATTTTTAATTGGTTTCAGAGAGGAAGGGGAAAGAGGGAGAGAGAAACATCAGTGATGATAGAATTATTGATTGATCGGCTGATTGGCTGCCTCCCCTCCTGGGGATTAAGGCTGCAACCTGGGCCTGTACCCTGACCGGCAATCACACCGTGACCTCCAGGTTCAGAGGTTGGTGTTCAGAGGTGCCTCTTCCTTTTCCGAACCCGGCCAGAGTCCTGTATATCGAACGTGTCCAGCCCATAGGCCATTGTTTTTTTTTGCTTTTGTGTTTTTCCTGTTTGTTGACTGGTAGTCTTGTTGGGATTTTGACCGATTCGGCCTCTGTGGCTTCAAATAATCCTGTTTGTTCTAGTAACATCTCTTCAACATGTATTCTGAAAATGCTTCTCGGGCTTTGAGGTGCTAAGGCTTTCTTTAATCCCCTCTCCCTGCTCCCCAAACTTAAAAACAAAAACACTTTGCAGACATGTCCTTTTTACATCTTTTAAGTCACTTGGCACCTTTGACCTGATGTAAGGATGATGTGCTTATTCCTTCTAGACGAAGGAACCAAGACGAGGGGATCTAGTCGTTGGAATCCGTAGCATTTGCATAATGGGGACGTAATAAGCATTTGTGCCCTGACCGTTGTGGCATAGTGGATAGAGCGTCGGCCTGCGGACTGGAGAGTCCCAGGTTCCGATTCTGGTCAAGGGCATGGACCTTGGTTTTGGGCACATCCCCAGCAGGAGGTGTGCAGGAGGCAGCTGATGGAGGTTTCCCTCTCATCGATGTTACTACCTCTCTACCCTCCCCCTTCCCCTCTGTAAAAAATATAAAATAAATATTTTTTAAAAAAGCATTTGTGAGATAATGACCATTAGCTCTTTGAGGGCGGAGATTTGTCTGAGCTGCTTGGAACCGGTTCTGAGCTGCTCATCGAAATTTATTCTCATGTGTTCTCATGTCATGACAGGTTCTCGTGTCTTCAAAGCCTCTTTGTGGTCTGTGCAATCTAATTTTTAAAAATTTTTTTTTGTAACTTAACAGATACTTTTGGAAACAGATAGACTGGACGTCGAAGGAGCTTCCAGAGACAAGCGTAGAGGCTTCAACAACATCCTTTATTTTTATTTATTTATTTATTTTTATCAACAACATCCTTTATTTTTATTCTTATCAACAACATCCTTTTGAGAGTCGCTCGCCGCCACCATGTCAGTCTCCAGGGCGCACCGAGGGGGCGGCGGCGGCCTCCGCGGGGCTCCCGACTCCCCGAGGTGCTCCTCCCCGCACGGCGCCGGCTCGGACGTGTCTGAGCGTGAGAACGACGACCCGCTCCTGGGCTCCGCCAAGAAACTCAGGGGCGTCAACAGCACTTACGTCATTTCCGCCTGCAGGACCCCCGAAGGGGCGGCCCTCACCTCCAACCCTGCCGGCAGGCTGACCCTGCAGAGGAGGGCCACAAGGCACAGGGACTCTTCGCTGCTGGGGGGTGAGGTGGGAGAGGCGTCCGCGAGAAAGACAGAAACGCCTCTTAGGTTACAGCGTCGCGTTCGAGCAGATCCCGTGGGCAGGCGGGCAACAGCTGGAGCAGATCCCGTGGGCAGGCAGGAAACAGCTGGAGCCCATTCCGTGGGCAGGCAGGAAACAGCTGGAGCAGATCCCATGAGCAGGCAGGAAACAGCTGGAGCAGATTCCGTGGGCATTCGGACAGCAGCTGGAGCAGATCCCGTGGGCAGGCAGGAAACAGCTGGAGCCCATTCCGTGGGCAGGCAGGAAACAGCTGGAGCCCGTTCCGTGGGCAGGCAGGAAACAGCTGGAGCCCATTCCGTGGGCAGGCAGGAAACAGCTGGAGCCCGTTCCGTGGGCAGGCAGGAAACAGCTGGAGCAGATCCCGTGGGCAGGCAGGAAACAGCTGGAGCCCATTCCGTGGGCAGGCAGGAAACAGCTGGAGCAGATCCCGTGGGCATTCGGACAGCAGCTGGAGCAGATTCAGCGACACAGAGCGTGGGAGGGGCCGCAGCCAGCGATGGTGCCTCCCGGGCCACCAGCAGGAGCGTCGGGATCGCCGACCACGAGAAAAGCTCCCCGGCTTCGTCTTCTGCCTCCTCCGCCGAAGACAGCGACCCCGGACTGGGGGCCGGCGACGAAGATGGGGGCACGTTTTCCGCCCTCGCGGGGGCGCCGGGCAGCGAGACGCACGGGCGCTTCACTCACAGCACGCCCGTCCGCCCCCGGAGAGAGGCCGAGGAGGCCCGGCCCGGCCCCTCGCCCGCGAGGTCCGAGCGGAGCCCGTGGGACGAGCGAGTGGGCGCAGGAAGCCTGCTTCCCCGGGGTCTCGGGAAAGAGGCTGGAAAACACACAGGCGCGCCTGAAAGCTTAGGAAGGGGGACGCCCGTGAGACGGACCACAGAGCACACGCCTCGTCCTCGGAGCGCGGCGCTGTCCGCCCTGAAACGCAGGACGCCCGGCGCCCAGGGCCAGCAGAATCCAAAACGCACCCTCTTCCCAAATAAGAGGGAGGGGTGTCACGAGCACACGCTCCCTCCCGGGGAGGAGGCCTGCACCCCGAGGGGCCCCCTGAAGGTGGAGAGCAGCCAGGTGACCGTGGCCGTCCGCGTGAGGCCCTTCAGCAAGAGGTGGGTCGGCCTCCGGGGCCGGTGTCGGGCTCCTCACGCCTGTCGGTGACCCTTTTTCTTTTTCTTTGGTGATGTCTTTACCGAGAGAGCGTGGTTTGAGTTGTGGTGCCTCAGTTATTTTAGCCCAGTGGTCGGCAGACTGCGGCTCTTTGGCCCCTTGAGTGTTTAGCAAAGGCCGGCTTAGGAGCATCCTAATCAAGCTGAGAACAGTGTACCTACCTATAAGGTTTATTTTTTTATTTTTATTATTATTTTTCAAATATATTTTTTATTGATTTTGTACAGAGAGGAAGGGAGAGAGAGAGAGAGAGTGCTAGAAACATCGATGAGAGAGTCATCAATCAGCTGCCTCTTGCACACCCCCCTAACTGGGGATGTGCCCGCAACCAAGGTCCATGCCCTTGACCAGAATCGAACCCGGGACCCTTCAGTCCCCAAGCCGACGCTCTATCCACTGAGCCAAACCGGTCTCGGCAAGGTTTAAGTTTAAAAAACGTGGCTCTCCAAAGAAATTTCCGTCGTCGTCCTGTTGGTATTTGGCTCTGTGGACCAGCGAGTTTGCCGACCACTGTGAAGTTTTAGGGCAGCGGTCGGGTGGGCAAACTGCGGCTCGCGAGCCACGTGCGGCTCTCTGGCCCCTGGGGTGTGGCCCTTCCACAAAAGACCACGGCCTGGGCGAGCCTGTGAGGAAGAAGAGGCGTTAGCAGAAGTTTAAGTTTTAAAAGTGTGTCTCTCCAGAGACATGTCCATCGTGGTGCTGTTCGACCCCTGAGCCACACCGGCCGTTATAGTTTCCACGTAAAACTGAATGTCTTCCCGCCCGGAGGGGTGTTCTGTTGCACCCGTCGTGAGGTCCTCACGCTCGGAGCCGGGCGGTGACCACCTCTCCCCCGTCTGTGCCCCGAAGGGAGCAGGAGGAGGGCGCGGCCCAGGTGGTGTTCCTGGACGGGGCGGACATCGCCGTGCGGCACCCGGCCCTGCGGCAGGAGTTCCGCTTCCTGTACGACGCCGCCTTCTGGTCCTTCGACCGGGGCCACCCGCGCTACGCCGGCCAGGCCGCCGTGTACGCCGCGCTGGCCGCCCCGCTGCTGGCCCGCGCCCTGGAGGGCTACAACGCCTGCCTCTTCGCCTACGGCCAGACGGGCTCCGGGAAGTCCTACACGTGAGTGCCGCCGCCGCAGACATGGCAGACGGGGGGGGAGGGTGTGCGTGTGCGCACGTGTGAGAGAGGTGTGTGCGCGTGTACAGGTGTGCATGTGCGTGTGTGTGTGTGTGTGTGTGTGAGAGAGAGAGATGTGTGTGTGTGTCTGTGTGTCTTTCGTGAGAAGCGGCCTCTGCCTTGATGGACGGCACACGGTTCTGAGACCACGGGGACCGGGCTCAGGTCTGCTCGGTGTACAGGCCAGTCCCGCACCCGCGGTCCAGCTGCTCAGCCTCTCGGCTTCGGTTTATGCCCAGAGCCCGTGGCCTCTGTTGCTGTGAAGCCGGCATGTCAGACTCGGAGGCTCCCGCGGGCCAGGCAAACGAGGCTGCCGTGTACGTGGGCCGCCACAGAGCACCAGCTTCAATGCGCCCAGAAGCCTGGGTTTATGGCGATAGAGACACAGGCTGGAAACAAAGGGCTGGGACGGGTCGTCGCGAACACAAAGTAATAGAACGTTACGTTTAATAAAAAGGAATATTTCTGCTCGAACATTACCTTTCCGGCCACTGAGTAACTGCACAGATGAACAAACCTCACGCAGACAAACCTCTTTTTCTTGTTCTCTGGTCCAGGCCCAAAAGGAGGGGCAGGGAGGTGCGTCTCCTGGGCTGCTGCTCCTAAGACAGCAGCCTGGCCTCAGCCTCAGGAGCGCCTGCCCTCCCCGCCCTGGCCCGGAGTCTGAAATCGGGGTCGGGGCCGTGCTCCCTCCGAGGGCGCCAGGGGAGGATCCTTCCTGGCCCCTCCAGCCTGTTCACCCGGCTTCACCCCCCTAATCCACGTGGGGTGATCCCATGGCCCCACCCCCTGCTCAGCCTCCCTCCCCTCTTCGCTCAGGATGATGGGGTTCGGGGAAGAGCCGGGCATCATCCCGAGGTTCTGCGAAGACCTTTTTGCTCAAGTGGCCAAAAACCAGACCCAGGAGGTAGGTGCCCGGGTCTGCAGGCCTCGTGTTAGGCTGGGAGAGCCCGAGCGGGGTGGCATCAGAGTCAGGGCCCCCAGAGGTTGATGGGGCCCTCATGTCCCTCTGCGCAGTGGGCACCAGGCGGAGCGCAGCGGGTACAGTGATTGGAAAGCCAGGACGTGGGAACAGGGGGGTCTGTAAACTGATTGCTGCACTCTAAGCCGGATCCGGAGGTGGAGGGTGGAAGGTGTGGGTGAGGGGGAGGGCGGAGGGCAGAGGGCGAACAGGAGGCTCCCGTCAGGTGCAGTTTGCAGACCAGGCGAGGCTTTGGGGTGAGGTTGCAGCCTGAGCTCTCCTCCCAGGTCAGGTACCACCTGGAGATGAGCTTCTTTGAAGTTTACAACGAGAAGATCCACGACCTGCTGGTGGGCAGAGGGGGCAGCAGGCAGAGGAAGGAGCCGGTAAGAGGGCGGCGTTCCTGTTTATAAACGCCCGCGGGTCCACGCGTCCTCAGGTGGCACGGAGGACCCGCCTGCTGCTGTGTGATGGCAGGCGCTGGGCAGCTGCGGGTTAACTGTGTTATTCAGCCAATCAGCTGACCACCACTCCGCTTGCTTCACAGCTGAGGGTCCGGGAGCACCCCGTCTCCGGGCCGTACGTCGAAGCTCTGGCCGTGTAAGTACCGTGTCCGCTGCACGTAAGTACCGTGTGATACGCGCAGACCGCGAATCACACGGAGTTGGAAGTGCTTGGTGTTCTCCTCTGTCCCCTCCCCTGCTGATGTTTGTGTCTGCTCCTTACGACGCCCGGGGAGCTGAGTCATGGGAAGAGTTTCGGTTTTTTAAAATATTTTTTTAAAGAGAGGGAGAGGGAGGGGGGAGACAGAGAGAGAGAGAGAGAGAGAGAGAGAGAAACACCAATGATGAGAGAGAATCATGGACCGGATGCCTCCCGCACACCCCCCTCTGGGGGCTTCCCTGCTTCCCGTGAGAGGACAAGGGCGTGAGCAACTTTCTTTCCCTCCCACAGGAACGCGGTGGGTTCCTACGCGGACATCCAGGTAAGCGGGGCCGCCCTCGCTCCTCCCCCGGGAGCGTGGCCGTGGCCTGAGCGTGAGCAGCCCCCCCCTCCCGCCTCCCCCGCAGGGCTGGCTGCAGCTGGGGAGCAAGCAGCGGGCCACGGCGGCCACCGGCATGAACGACAAGAGCTCCCGCTCGCACTCGGTGCTCACCCTCCTGATGACCCGCACCCAGGTGGGACCTCACTGCTGCCTCCTCCCTCTCCTGTCAGTCAGAGGTCAGAGGACACTCGTGCAGGGACCTGACCTCGTTGGGTTTTGGCAAATATAATACTCAACGACTGAGTCGGGTTTGGCGCATCTGGCTGTACGTTTTCCTTGCTGTTTTATTTTATTTATTTAATTTTTAAAAAATATTTTATTGTTTTTTTACAGAGAGGAAGGGAGAGGGAGAAAGAGTCAGAAACATCGATGAGAGAGAAACATCCATCAGCTGCCTCCTGCACTGGGGATGTGCCCGCAGCCAAGGTCCACGCCCTGGACCGGAATCGAACCCGGGACCCCCCCCAGTCCACAGGCCGGTGCTCTATCCACTGAGCCACGCCGGTCAGGGCTTCCTCACTGTTTTAAAAACCAATAATATCGATTATTATTTCACCACGACATCGCGGGTGTCCTGTCCACATGTGATTCCCTCCTGGCAACGCCCGGGGAGTATCGGGCCGTATTTGGGAAATCCCATCAGAAAGTAAAAGGTTTCTCACGGTTCAGCCGTAAGGGTCCAGGACGGGATACCCGTGATTGAGCTTCGTCTCTGCTCGCGGTTGTTTCCTTAAAAGCTGTGGCCTCCCGTCCCCTTTTCCGTCGTTTCTTTCATTTTGGCACAATCCGAGCGCGGCCCGGCGTGTTCGCAGCTGGCAGTTCCTCACGATCGCAGGCCCAGGGAGAGGGCGCTCGGTTCCGCAAACAAGCGAGGGGCCTGTGCCCCCCTCACCGCTCTCCCTCCTGGGGCCGACGCCCCCAGCCACGTCCACCCCCTTTCCCGCAGACGGAGCTGGTGGACGGGGAGGAGCACGCCCACGCGGTGACCAGCCGCATCAGCCTGGTGGACCTGGCGGGCAGCGAGCGCCAAGGGCCGGCGGGCACCAGCGGGCAGCTGCTGAGGGTGAGGGGGCGGGGCTTGCTCCCGGGGGCGGGGCTTCATGCTTAGGAGGTTACCAGGGAGACGCTCTCCTCCTGCCGCTCACAGGCTGCGTGCTGGGGTGCAGAGGCCCCCGTTTTGGGGGTGGTCACTTTCCGGTAGCGTCAGCAAGTGGGGAGTCCGGAGACAGCGGTGGCCTGTGGGAGAGGGCGTGGCGCCGCCCTGTTCTGAGCAGGATCCGACCCTGACGCGGTCAATCTCTCCGGCACAGGAAGGCGTGAGCATCAACAAGTCCCTGCTGACCCTGGGCAAGGTCATCTCGGCGCTGGCCGAGCACGGGGGCCGCCGCAGAGCCTTCATTCCGTACCGGGAGTCCGTCCTCACGTGGCAAGTGTCCTCTGAACTTTATTTTTAAAATCATTTAAAAAAATATATTTTTATTGATGTCAAAGAGGAAGGGAGAAGGAGAGAGAGAGAGAGAGAGAAACATCCCTGATGAGAGGATCATGGATCCTGCACGCCCCCCACTGGGGATGGAGCCCACAATCCGGGCCTGTGCGCTGACCGGAATCGAACCCAGGACCCTTCCACCTGCCGGCCGGGGAGGCCCGCGGAGGGAGACCTCGCCCCGCGCCCCAGTTCCTGGCCCTGCGCTGGGTCCGCTCCGTGCGGTCTGGCCCGGGAGACCCGGGGGATGGCTGCTGTGGCTGTGGGGCCCGGCGGAGGCTGACCCTGGCCCTGCCCCTGGCCCTGCCCCTGCCCGCCCCGCAGGCTGCTGAAGGAGAGCCTGGGCGGCAACTCGAAGACGGCCATGATCGCCACGGTGAGCCCGGCGGGCAGCAGCCTGGAGGAGACGCTGAGCACCCTGCGCTACGCCCGCCAGGCCCGCAGCATTGTCAACGCGGCCCGCGTGAACGAGGACACGAGCGCCCAGCTCGTCCGCGGTGAGCGCCCCCTCCTGCCCCCGGGGCCTCGGGTGACAGTGTGGGCGACGGACGGACGGACGGACGGACGGACATGGGCGGCTTCAGAGCTCCTTCCGGGGCCCCTCTGTGCTGACCGTGGCGTCCCCTGCAAGTGTGGAGGGAGATGATTCCGGATCAATCGTGCGTCGTCTTATAAATCTTTAGAACTGAAAGCAGAAATCGAGAAGCTGAGAGCCGCTCAGAGGAGCCGTCAGCACATCGACCCCGAGCGGTACCGGCTCTGTCGGCAGGAAATCACGTCCCTACGGATGAGGCTGCACGAGCAGGAGCGCGCCATGGTGGCCATGCAGAGGTGGGGCCCGGGGCGGGCCGACCGGCTGCAGGGCCAGGGGCCCGGACGGTGCAGCCTCGCCCATCCTGTCCCCCCTCCCCCTGCAGCTCCCAGCCCCAGGCCATCTCATCTAATCCCAAGTGGCTTCAGAATCTTTGTTGATTGTTAACCGTATATATATATCTATATATCTATATACCTATATACCTATGTATCTATATATCTATATATCTATATATACACGTGTATATACACGTGTGTGAGTGTGTGTGTGTGTGTGTGTGTGTGTGTGTGTGTGCTTTTAACTGTGAATTCTGTTTTTGGAAAGAGCGTGGAAAGAAAAATTTGAGCAGGCTGAAGAAAGAAAGCATCATGAGATCAAGGAGTTACAGGTAGGCGTCGGGAAGGGCCAGCGAGACGCAGGGTAAGCGTGGAGTACGGGCTGCCCCTGTGGGAAGCAGGGCCCTACGGAGCGTCCGTGTCCGGGCGTGCGGAGGTCAGGGTGGCGCCTGGAATGGGGCATCGGGGCGTCGCACGGGGAAGTTACCGCCCTTAGCTGAGGGCGGGCGTGGGGGAGGGGGGCAGAGAGGAACCTCTCACCGTGTCAGCTCCCCTTGAGCGTCTCCCAGCGTCTCCCACGGTCTCTCCTCCCTCCCCACCCCGGCTCCAGCGAGCGGGAGTGACCTTCCAGGTGGACAGCCGCCTGCCCAACCTGGTGAACCTGAGCGAGGACCCGCAGCTGTCGGAGGCGCTGCTGTATGTGCTCCAGGAGGGCACCACCGCCGTGGGCCAGCGCGGCCCCGGCGCCAGCCCCGACATCCAGTTGGCCGGCGCGCTGGTGGCCGACCGGCACTGGTAGGTCCGCCTGCCCCGGAGCGAGGCCCCGGCCGCTGTCCGCGGTGACCGACCGCTCACGGGAGGCACACGCGTGCCCGGGGCCCTTGGCGTGGTCCTGCCAGTGCATCTTACCCGGGCGATCAGAGACTCGCCCCGTTTGTGGGGTCAGCCTCTCCCTTTCCTGTCCTGTGAGCACAAAGACGACTTCACTCTGGGCTTCTTTCCGGCCCTCCGGGTACAAAGGTGCTTTTAAAAGACGTGAAGGTTTGTATCGGGGTCGGAGAGGAAGGGGGAGGAGAGGGAGAGCGAGAGAAACATCCGTGAGGAGAGAGCCGGGGACCGGCTGTGACCGGCTCCCTCCCCGCAGCACCATCAGCAACGTCGGCGGCGCCGTGACCATCGCCCCCGTCGGGGAGGCCAGGACGTACGTGAACGGGAGGCGCGTGCTGGGGCCCACCGAGCTGCACCACGTGAGCGGCCGGGAGGCGGGCGGAGGCCGTGGGCCCTGGGCAGGCGGTCACGCACCCGAGTGTCCGGGAGGGACGCCTGTGCAGTGCTTTTTAAAACGTACTTCAGAGAAGGAGGGAGAGGGAGAGGGAGAGGGAGAGGGAGAGGGAGAGGGAGACACAGACATCAGTGATGAGAGGGAATCATGGACCGGCTGCCTCCTGCACAACCCACGCGGGATGGAGCCCACGACCCGGCCTGTGCCCTTGGCCGGAACCCAACCGTGAGCTCAACCACTGAGCCCCGCCGGCCGGGCTTTCTCTGTGTGTGTGTGTGTATGTGTGTGTGTGTGTGAGAGAGTGTGTGTGTGTGTGAGAGTGTGTGTGTGTGTGTGTGTGTGTGAGAGTGTCTGTGTGTGTGTGTGAGAGTGTGTGTGTGTGTGTGTGTGTGTGAGAGTGTGTGTGTGAGTGTGTGTGAGTGTGTGTGTGTGAGTGTGTGTGTGTGAGTGTGTGTGTGTGTGTGTCTGTGAGTGTGTGTGAGTGTGTGAGTGTGTGTGAGTGTGTGTGTGTGTGAGTGTGTATGTGTGTGTCTGTGTGTGTGTCTGTGAGTGTGTGTGAGTGTGTGTGAGTGTGTGTGTGTGAGTGTGTATCTGTGTGTGTGTCTCTGTGTGTGTGTGCCTGTGTGTGTGTGAGTGTGTGTGTGTGAGTGTGTGTCTGTGTGTGTGTGTCTCTGTGTGTGTGTCTGTGTGTGTGTGAGTGTGTGTGTGTGTGTCTGTGTGTGTGTGTGAGTGTGTGAGTGTGTGAGTGTGTGTGTGTATGTGTATGTGTGTGTGTGTCTGTGTGTGTGTGTCTCTGTGTGAGTGTGTGAGTGTGTGTGTGTGTGAGTGTGTCTGTGTGTGTGTGTGAGTGTGTGAGTGAGTGTGTGTGTGTCTCTGTGTGTGAGTGTGTCTGTGTGTGAGTGTGTCTGTGTGTCTGTGTGTGTGTGTGTGTCCGTCCAGCCCTGACGGTGCCTGCGGGAGAGGCCCCTGAGCGCCCCCTGTAAGTCTGCGCTCCGGAAGTGACCCCGGGGTCAGTGGTCAGTTGCGTGCCGCCCTCTGACCCGTGTTAACAACGCCGCCCGTCCTGGGCCCCTGAGCTGCGGGCTGTGTGTGCCGCAGGGCGACCGCGTGGTGCTCGGGGGCGACCATTACTTCCGGTTCAACCACCCGGCGGAGGCCCGCAGCGGGCAGAGTGCGCCCGGCGGAGGCGCCCCGGCCGGCGAGGGCCCCACGGACTTCGAGTTCGCCAAGAACGAGTGGCTGGCAGCCCAGCGGTCGCAGTGAGTGCCGGGGGCCTGCGCCAGAGTTCGGGGGACAAAGGGGTGCCGGGGGAGGGCCTCCCGAAGTTTTTGTTTGATGGGAAGCTCTGCGAGGACAGCTGCTGCGGTGATAATCGCGTGGAATGTAAACTGATGGGAAAAGCCCCTGGCCGGTGTGGGTCAGTGGGCAGAGCTCGGCCTGTGGACTGAGGGTCCCGAGTTCGGCTGCGCCCGGGCGTTCTGTGCCTGACGCTGCCATGGTGTTGGTGCTCTGCAGGCTGGATGCGGAGGCCCGGGAGGCGCAGCTGCGGGCCAAGCAGGAGATGCTGCAGGGCATCCAGGTGGCCAAGGAGGTGGCGGAGCAGGAGCTGTGCAGCCAGCGGGCCGCCTTCGAGGGCCGGATCGAGGCCCTGCAGGCCGAGCTGGTACGGCGGGCTGGCCCCCTCTCCCCGCCCCCCTCTTTTCCTGGACGTGTGCGCGGGCAACAGGTGGCTGCCGGGACGGACAGGAGCCCTCTGGGCCGGCTGCTGCCTCTGGTCCGCCCCCTGCTGGGCGCCCCCGGGAGCCTCCCTGGCCGAGCTGATCTGAACCCAGTGACGCCCTCGGGAGGGGCCGGGCCGTCGATGGGGGACCACGGGGTCCCCCAGCCGCGTGAGCCCGGCTCCAGGCCGGGGGGCAGGGGGCTCCGGCCGGCTCTCCTCCCGGGAAAGGCGGGGCCTTCTGTGCGCCCGGGAGCTGGGAGGAGTGCTGTCTGTTTGCCTGGTTGTTTACTTATGGCTTGATTGTGATTGCTCTCCGAAGAAAGAAGAGTCCCAGCAGAAGCAGCTGCAGGAGGTGAGCACCCAGAAGGCCCATCTGCGCATCGAGGAGCTGGAGCGGGCGAGGGAGCGGCTGGAGCAGGAGGTGCAGGCCAACCGGCGGCGCCTGGAGCTGGAGCGGCTGGCAGCCCAGCAGGTGAGTCCCGGCCGCGCTCCCGGGGTGGACGGGGGAGAAGCCGGGGTGGACGGGGGAGAAGCCGGGGTGGACCGGGGAGAAGCCGGGGTGGACCGGGGAGAAGCCGGGGTGGACGGGGGAGAAGCGGGGTGGACGGGGGAGAAGCCGGAGTGGATGGGGGAGAAGTGGGGTGGACAGTGGAGAAGCCGGGGTGGGTGGGGAGAAGCCGGAGTGGATGGGGGAGAAGTGGGGTGGACAGTGGAGAAGCCGGGGTGGGTGGGGAGAAGCCGGAGTGGATGGGGGAGAAGTGGGGTGGACAGTGGAGAAGCCGGGGTGGGTGGGGAGAAGCCGGGGTGGACGGGGGAGAAGCCGGGGTGGACGGGGGAGAAGCCGGAGTGGATGGGGGAGAAGCCGGAGTGGATGGGGGAGAAGTGGGGTGGACAGTGGAGAAGCCGGGGTGGGTGGGGAGAAGCTGGGGTGGGTGGGGGAGAAGCTGGGGTGGACGGGGGAGAAGCGGGGATGGACGGGGGAGAAGCCGGGGTGGGCAGGGGAGAAGCCGGAGTGGACGGGGGGGGAAGCCGGAGTGGACAGTGGAGAAGCCGGGCTGGTGGGGAGAAGCCGGGCTTATCGTCACAGATCACTCTCGGGGTCAGGGTCACGGTGGCTCCCCGTGCCGACGGGGACACGCCGGGAGCTGAGCTGTCACGGCGGCGTGTTCCGCGGGCGCCGCCCCTAACCTCTCTCCCACACGCACACGCGTGGCCCCGCGCGCCCGGCCCAGGCGCTGGAAGGCCACAGCTTGCGCCACACGCGGATCCTGGAGGCGCTGGAGGCCGAGAAGCAGAAGATCGCCCAGGAGGTGCAGGCGCTGCAGCGGGGCCCGGGCGGCCGGGGCCGGGGCCCCCCGGGTGAGTGCGGGCGGCGGCGGCGGCTCCCGGCCCCTCGGCCCCGAGCTGGGCCCGCTGCCCCGGCCGGAGGAGGCGGCTCGCTTCCAGTCCCGACAGCTGTGTGTGCTTGTGTGTGTGCTTATGTGTGTGCATGTGCGTACGTGTGCATGCCCGTGTGTGTGCGTGTGCACTGACTCCCCCGTGTGCTCGTTTCCAGTCCCGACAGCTGTGTGTGTGTGTGTGTGTGCGCATGTGCGTCCGTGTGCATGCCCGTGTGTGTGTATATGCACTGACTCCAGTCCCGACAGCTGTGTGTGTGCTTATGTGTGTGCTTGCTTCCAGTCCCAACAGTTGTGTGTGTGTGCATGTGCGTCCGTGTGCATTCCCATGTGTGTGCGTGTACACTGACTCCCCCGTGTGCTTGCTTCCAGTCCCAACAGCTGTGTGTGTGTGTGCATGTGCGTCCGTGTGCATTCCCATGTGTGTGCGTGTGCACTGACTCCCCCGTGTGCTTGCTTCTAGTCCCAACAGCTGTGTGTGTGTGCATGTGCGTCCGTGTGCATGCCCGTGCGTGTGTATATGCACTGACTCCCCCGTGTGCTCGCTTCCAGTCCCGGCAGCTGTGTGTGTGTGTGCATGTGCGTCCGTGTGCATGCCCGTGTGTGTGTATGCACTGACTCCCCGTGTGCTCGCTTCCAGCGGCGACGAGCTGGGGCTCCCTGAAGCTCTCGCTCATGATCCAGGAGGCCAACGCCCTCAGCAGCCGCACGCAGGGGCGGTACGTGTTCGGCAGGTGAGCCTCGTGGCCGGGCTGGCGGCCGCCCTGCGGTGAGAGCGGTTGGCCCCCGCCCCCGCCTTGGGACTCAGACAACTGTCTCAGTGTCTGCGAAGAGAGCCCGCCCCCACACGGCGTCCCCGTCACAACACGCTAATCCGGGCGGTTTCCCCCCGGGCCCTCCGGGTGTCTGAGACGGCGTCCCCTCCGTGTGTTTCAGACACGAGGCGCCGGACGGAGGGCGCGGCCCCGGCCCCTGGGTCCGCGTGCGGAACCTGCGGCTCGGCGTGGCCGCGCTCTGGAGCCGCGAGAAGTTCGAGTCCAAGCTGGCCGCCCTGAAGGAGCTGGACGAGGTGCCGCGCTGTGACTCTCTGCTCTTTCAGGAAATGGTTTGTTGGTTTCCGAGAGGAAGGGGGAGAGAGAGAGAGAGAGAAACATCCACGAGAGAGAATCACGGATCGGCTGCCTCCCGCACGCCCCCCACTGGGGATCCAGCCTGCAGCCCGGGCCTGCGCCCTGACCGGGAATCGAACCCTGCCCTCCTGGTTCACAGGTCGACGCTCAACGACTGAGCCACAGCGGCCGGGCCCTGCTTGTTTTTCATATCGTACTTTCTGTCTTCTAAAGTCATACTCCACCTGGGAGTTTTTTTTTTGTTTGTTTTTTTTAATATATTTTATTGATTTTTCACAGAGAGGAAGAGAGAGGGATAGAGAGTCAGAAACATCGATGAGAGAGAATCATCAATCAGCTGCCTCTTGCACACCCCCTACTGGGGATGTGCCCGCAACCAAGGTCCATGCCCTTGACCGGAATCAAACCCGGGACCTTTTAGTCCGCAGGCCGACGCTCTATCCACTGAGCCAAACCGGTCCCGGCCACCTGGGAGTTTTTTAATCACCAAACCAGCCCCGCCTCAAAGAATAAGAACAAAAGGGAGGGTGGGGGCGCAGAAAGAGGCGGGGATCCCAGTCGGTCTCGTGAGGAAGTGCTTTCGAGCTTCCAAGCAGACAAACCCGTGAACGGCCCCAGAGCAGGAGAAGGTCAGGTGTCCCGGCCGCCGTCCGGCCCTGAGCGATTGATTAAGATCGACCGAAAGCCCCAGCCCCAGAGGGATGACTCAGACGACGCCCACAAGCTGCTGGCGGTGCGAGCGAGCGGAGCCGTGAGCTCGGATGCTCCTGAGTCAGACCCCACGGCGCTCGGAGCCCTGGCACCGGGGCCGGGCGTGCTCACCACCGAGGACCCGCGCCGGGAGCAGGCGGCCCGGGGTGCCGCCGGGTTCCCTGGGCGGGACGGGCTGCGGGGGTCCTGCCTTCTCCGTGTGGATACGTGTTAGTAACTTCCACATCCCCCGCGTGGCCGGTGTGGCTCAGTGGATTGAGTGGCGGAGTGAAGGGCCCCGGGTTCGATTCCGGTCAACGGCACACCGCCCGGGTTGCAGGTTCGATTCCCGGGGGTGTGTGTGTGCAGGAGGCAGCCGAGCAAATGATTCTCACCACGGGTGTCTCCCTCTCCCCTTCCCTCTCCGAAATCAATACAAACACAAACGGAAGGTTTTAGCAAACAGTGAGACGCGGCCACGGGGTTAGGCCGATGGCGGACAGAAGCCTCTGCTTGGCTCCCCAGAGCGCCGGCAAGTGCGAGGACCTCTTCTGCGACCCCGAGGACCAGTGGGAGCCCGACCTCACGGCCGCGCCCGCCGCCGCCCTGTCCCGGAGGAGGTAGGCGGCCGGCGCTCCGCGCACGGCTGTTGCTACCTGTGTTTCATTTCATTTTACTTTATCTATCTTATTTTTTATTTTATTTTATCTGTTCTTATTTTTTATTTTATTTATTTTTATTTTATTTTATTCTTATTTTACTTATTTTTATTTTATTTTATTTATTCTTGTTTTATTTATTTTTTATTTTATTTTTTTAATTTTAATTTTATTTTATTTATCTTATTTTTTATTTTATTTATTTTTATTTTATTTTATTCTTATTTTACTTATTTTTATTTTATTTTATTTATTCTTGTTTTATTTATTTTTTATTTTATTTTTTTAATTTTTATTTTATTTTATTTATCTTATTTTTTATTTTGTTTTATTTATTTTTATTTTTATTTTATTTATTCTTATTCTTATTTTTATTTTATTTTATTTTATTTCATTTATTCTTGTTTTATTTATTTTTTATTTTATTTATCTTGTTTTTTATTTTGTTTTATTTATTTTTATTTTATTTTATTTATTTTTATTTTATTTTGGCTCAGTCTCAGCCGAGGATATTTTTCCCGTTGGTTTTTGAGAGGAGAAGGGAGGAGAGAGAATCATCACATTGATGAGTTGCCTCCCATGTGAGCCCTGACCTGGGTGGGGAGCCACAGGTACCGGCAGGCCCTGCTCCTGACCTTGTGGGGGCCTGGGCCCGGGCCGGGATGGAGCCCGGGCGGGAACCCTGCTCGGGGGCGGATGTGACCTCCTCCCGCTTCCCGCAGGAGCCGCAGCCTGGTGAGGGACCGCAGGGTCTCCGGCTACCTGCACGGCGCCCAGGCCCACGCGGCCTCGTCAGGTGGGTGGTGGCCGCCGGCGACCCTGTGACCCGGTGCCGGGGAGGGACGCCCGGGCCTGCCGGGGCCTGAGTGCCGGAGAGGACGCTCGGGCCAGCCGGGGCCTGAGTGCCGGGGAGGACGCCCGGGCCGGCCGGGGCCTGAGTGCCGGGGAGGGCTCCTGGGGCCGGGCCTGAGTGCCGGGGAGGGCGCCTGGGGCCGGGCCTGAGTGCTGGGGAGGGGCGCCCGGGCCGGCCGGGCCTGAGTGCCGGGAAGGACGCCCAGGGCCGGTCCTGAGTGCCGGGGAGGGGCGCCCGGGGCCGGGCCTGAGTGCCGGGGAGGACGCCCAGGGCCGGGGCCTGAGTGCCGGGGAGGACGCCCGGGCCGGCCGGGGCCTGAGTGCCGGGGAGGGACGCCCGGGCCTGCCGGGGCCTGTGTGCCGGGGAGGACGCCCAGGGCCGGGGCCTGAGTGCCGGGGAGGACGCCCGGGCCGGCCGGGGCCTGAGTGCCGGGGAGGGCTCCTGGGGCCGGGCCTGAGTGCCGGGGAGGGCGCCTGGGGCCGGGCCTGAGTGCCGGGAAGGACGCCCAGGGCCGGGCCTGAGTGCCGGGGAGGGGCGCCCAGGGCCGGGGCCTGTGGTGTGTCTCGGGGCTGAGGCCGGCTCCCGTCCTACAGGCTCCGGGGAGCCGCCGGGCGCCCTGGGCTCCGGCTCGGCGGGGTCCGCCCTCCCCGGGATCTGCCGGGAGCTGGTCGGGGCGGCCCTGGCCGTGCTCGGGCGGAGCGGCGAGGAGGACACGGCGGCGGACGGCCTGCTGGATGGTCTTCGGCAGGTGCACGGGGCGCTGCTGGCGCTCGCCCGGGCCCACGCTGCGCAGGACGAGGACGGCCCCGGCGACCGTAAGCAGCCCCTCCCCGGCCCCCGGCCCCCAGCCCCTCAGCCCCCGGCCCCCCAGCCCCCCGCGATGTGGGCACAGCCGTGTGTCCCGGCGGTGTGGACGGTGCGGGCGGTGAGTCCGTGCTCCCCGGCGAGGCCTCCCGCCCTCTCCCCTCAGTGTTCTCCGCGGACCACGCAGCCCAGGCGCGGGCGGTGCAGGTGGCCTGCGCCTTCGGGCAGCTGGCGGCGCTGGCCCCGCTCTGGCCGGGGGACGCCGCGCCCGGGGCCCCCGCGGCCCGGCTGGGCGAGGAGCTGCGGCAGGAGGTGGAGAAGCTGGGCGGCTGCGTGCAGCTGTTCCTGCAGGTCAGTGCGGGTGGCCGTGCGGGAGGCGTGTGCTCCGTGTGTGCCGGCCTCCTCCGTGGGCGGGCCGGCCCGAGCTGGAGCTGATGAACCGGCCCGTCCACGGCAGGGCTGCTCCTCGGACATCCCGTCCATGGTGGCCGACGCGCAGGAGAGGGCCGCCCGGGCCGTGCGCCGGGCCGTGGCCTGTGTGGGGCAGCTGGCCATGCTGAGCGGGAGCCGGCTGCGTCTCCTGGACCCCGGGGCCTGCGGGGGCGCCGGCCTGCAGGTGAGCGTGAGGCTCTCTCTCCCGTCGAAGGCCGGTGCCGGGCCTGGAGGAGAGCTCGGAGGGTCCGTCCGCGCTGGCGAGCGTGCGGCCCGCGGGCTGGCGAGTTCTCGCTGTTACCGGGGACGGCGGTTACCGTGAGGGCCGGGCAGCCGGTCGCCGGGAGGAGCTGGTTCCAGGGAGTCGTGTCTGCTGGCTCAGCCCCGGCTGTGGACGCATTATTGGGGTCCCTTTGGCCCCTCTGGCTGTGGACACAGAATTGGGGTCCCTCTGGCTGTGGGCACAGCACCGGGCCCTCTGGCTGGGCACAGCGTCGGCCCCTCTGGCTGGTCGCTGCGCCGGGCCCCTCTGGCTGGGCACAGCGCCGGGCCCTCTGGCTGGGCGCAGTGCCGGGCCCTCTGGCTGGGCGCAGCGCCGGGCCCTCTGGCTGTGGACACAGAATTGGGGTCCCTCTGGCTGGGCACAGCGTCGGCCCCTCTGGCTGGTCGCTGCGCCGGGCCCCTCTGGCTGGGCACAGCGCCGGGCCCTCTGGCTGGGCACAGCGCCGGGCCCTCTGGCTGGGCGCAGCGCCGGGCCCTCTGCTCGGACAGCATTGTGTCTCCGGCCCTGCTCCCGGCTGGGGCCTGAGTTGGGCTGTGCCTCCCAGGAGGACCTGGCGGACGCCCTGTGGGACGGAGTCGGCGCGGGCCTGAGGCTGCTCATCGACTCCGGGCTGGAGCGGGCGGGGGCGCTGCTGCGCCAGCTCTCCGGCCTGCGCCCCCCGAGCGAGGTAACCCCCGGGGAGGGGTCCCGTGGGTCCCAGGCGGGGCTCACGTTGGTTTTTATTGATGTCAGAGAGGAAGGGGGAGGGAGAGAGAGAGAAGCATCCACGCTGAGGGAGAACCACGGACCAGCTGCCTCCCGCAGGCCCCTCACTGGGGACGGAGCCCACACCCTGGCCCCGCGCCCTGACCGGGAATCGAACCCTGATGTCCTGGTTCCGAGGTCGATGCTCAGCCCCTGAGTTTGTGTGTGTGACTCCACGAACTAGACGGTTACAGATCCATGTGTTTGGACGTGTGGACTGTGTCCCTGTGGAAAGGCTGCTGGGAGCCTCGGGCCCACAGTGGGCGGGCCCCGGCGGACCCCGGGTGAACCCTCGGCCGGTGGAGCGGCGGAGACACCTGCCCGTCTTCTCTTCCCTTTGCTCCGTCTGCTTTTCCCCTTCTGAGCCTAAACTGCAGGGATGGGTTCGAGCGACTTCCCCGGGTCAGCCTCCTCCTCAGTGCCCTGACAGCAGCCTGACCCGCCTCTGGGTGGCGCCCCAGGGGGCGGGGCGTCCCGGGTTTGTGCTCTGGGCGTGTGGGTACCAACAGCCTGTCCTCTCCCTCCAGGCGGCCCAGCAGCTGAGCGCCAAGGCCACGGCGCTGGCGGGGGGCCTGGAGGCCGTCCTCGCCTCGTGGAGAGCGGTGAGCCCGCCCGGCCTGTGTGTCCCGTGTCCGTCCTGTGTGTGTCCTGTGTGTGTCCTCCCGGCCTCTGTGTGTGTCCCGTGTGTGTCCTCCTGGCCCCGGCCTCTGTGTGTCCCGTGTCCGTCCTCCCGGCCCGGCCTGTGTGCCACGTGTGTCCTCCCGGCCTGTGTGTGTCCCGTGTGTGTCCTCCGGCCTCTGTGTGTCCTGGGGTCTGCCCTCCCCTCGGCTCCTGGCCTGTGTGTGTGTCCCGTGTCCGTCCTCCCGGCCTGTGTGTGTCCCGTGTCCGTCCTCCCCTCGCTCCCGGCCTCAGTCTGACCCTTCGCCGGTGCCCCACGGGGAGGGGGAGGAGACAGGCCGCCCCGCGTCCTCACACGCCCTGTTCGCAGGAGGAGCCTGGCGGGCGTGAGGCCCTGAGGGCGGCGGCGGACCGCGCCCCGGGGCTGTGGGAGCTGACGGGCTGCGTGGAGTGGACCGTGGAGGCCGTGCTGGCTGCCCTGGGAGGTGCGTGCGGGGGGGGGGGCGGGGGGGGCGCCGCCCTGGGAGGTGCGTGCGGGGGGGGGGGGGGAGGGGTGGCCGCCCTGGGAGGTGCGTGCTGGGGGGGGGCGGGGGGAGGGGGCGCCGCCCTGGGAGGTGCGTGGGGGGGGGAGGGGGTGGCCGCCCTGGGAGGTGCGTGCGGGGGGGGGGGGGAGGGGTGGCTGCCCTGGGAGGTGCGTGCCGGGGGGGGGGGGGGCGGGGGGAGGGGGTGGCCGCCCTGGGAGGTGCGTGCGGGGGGGGGGGAGGGGAGGGGTGGCCGCCCTGGCAGGTGCGTGCGTGGGGGGGGGCGGGGGGAGGGGTGGCCGCCCTGGGAGGTGCGTGGGGGGGGGAGGGGGTGGCCGCCCTGGGAGGTGCGTGCGGGGGGGGGGGGAGGGGTGGCTGCCCTGGGAGGTGCGTGCCGGGGGGGGGGGGCGGGGGGAGGGGGTGGCCGCCCTGGGAGGTGCGTGCGGGGGGGGGGGGCGGGGGGAGGGGGCGCCGCCCTGGGAGGTGCGTGCGGGGGGGGCGGGGGGAGGGGGGGCCGCCCTGGGAGGTGCGTGCGGGGGGGGGGGGAGGGGAGGGGTGGCCGCCCTGGGAGGTGCGTGCGGGGGAGGGTACTGAGCCGCAACCGCCGCCCACCTGCCCTGGGCGGCCAGTGCGGCTCAGTGGATAGGGCCGGCCCGCGGACTGGAGGGTCCCCGGTTCGATTCCGGTCGGGCACAGGCCCGGGTTGCGGGCTCCATCCCCGGGGGGGGGGCGTGCAGGAGGCGGCCGGCCCCGGATTCTCTCTCGCCACGGGTGTGGCTGCCTCTCCCTCCCGCTGCCTCCCCCCTCGGAGGGGGAGGTTAGTGACTCTCCTCTCCTGCCCAGGACGCCGCGGCGACGGGGGCGCCCTCCGGACCCGCGTGGACAGGCTCTGCGTCTTGGCCGGGGACGTCGGCGCCGACCGCTGCGCCCGGAGCCTCGGGGACCTGGCGGCCGCGGCCAAGGCCCTGCTCCTCGGCTTGGAGGCCGGGGACGGCGCCGCCCCCTGGGGACCCTGGGGCCCGCGCCATCGGGACCGCGCGGAGGGCCGCCGGCCGCCCGGGGCCCGCAGGACCGGCCCCGCCACGGGCAGGGGCGTCCCCAAGCGCGTCTACACGCTGCCCGCCCGGCCGCCCAGCTCCGGGGGGCGCACGCCCGGGGGCACCCAGTGGGTGTGAGGGCGGGGGGGGGCGTTCGCTCACGCGGGAGAGGACAGCAGCCGGGCACGGCGGGGACGGGCCTGGGAGCCCTCGGCAGCGCGTTGGACGGCGCTGCCGGACCCGTGGGACCTCGTGGCTCCTCGTGGCCTCGGCTCTCCCCGGCGCGGCGTGGGCACCCGGTCCGCCTGCCTGGCTGGCCCGTTCCCGCCGGCTGCGCTCCTGGTGGACGGAACCGCGCCCGCTCCCTGCTGCCCGCGAGGAGCTCGGGGAGGGGGTGGCGAAGCGGCCGGCGCGGTTTCCCGGGGCTGAGCCTGCGCTCCCCGTCTGCTCGCTCCCCCTCCTCCGAGGCCGAGCGCCGCCTGCTCAGGGGCGCCCCCCGGGGTCCAGACCCGGGCCCGGACGCAGAGGACACGCTTCCCGCCCGTGCACCGCGGCCGCACTCACAGACGTGCGGGCGGGCGGAGGACGGAGACGGAGGGGCCCTGGGCCCGTCACACCCCACGGAAAACGCGCCTTCGCGCCCTCCACCCCCGACGAGGGGCTGATCCCGTCCGGCCTCCGGCACCGCGGCACGGCGGTCAGAGAGGCCGCCTGGGACCGCGGGGACACCGAGCGGCGCCTGGGACCCCCCGCCCCCCCCCCCCCGCCTCTTCCCGGGCACTGCCCGTGCCGGCCGGCGCGGCTGCGGGAACCGGCGCCCGCCCCCCGGTGCGCCCCGCCCCCCCCGCCCCCCCCCGTGCGCCCCGTCCCCCCCTCCCCCGTGCGCCCCCCCCCCCCCCCCCCGTGCGCCCCGGCCCCGTCGCGGCAGCCGCCGGGCGCGCTGGCCACACGGCCACCCCGTGTGGAGGTCCTCGGCGTCGCCGGTGCCGTGCGCGGTGCCCGCAGCGAATCTGCTTCCTTATGTTTAACGCTGGCGCCTGGGCTGGTGCCCCCCGGACGCGCTGTGTGTGTGTGTGTGTGTGTGTGTGTGAGTGTGTGTGTGTGTGTGAGTGTGAGTGTGAGTGTGTGAGTGTGTGAGTGTGTGTGTGTGTGAGTGTGTGAGTGTGTGTGAGTGTGAGTGTGTGAGTGTGAGTGTGTGAGTGTGTGTGTGAGTGTGTGTGAGTGTGTGTGTGTGTGAGTGTGTGTGTGTGTGTGAGTGTGTGTGTGTGTGAGTGTGTGTGTGTGTGAGTGTGAGTGTGTGTGTGTGTGTGTGAGTGTGTGTGTGTGTGTGAGTGTGTGTGTATGTGTATGTGTATGTGAGCGAGTGTGTGTGTGTGTGAGTGTGTGTGTGAGTATGTGAGTGTGTGTGCGTGGGGGGGGGGAGCGGGGGTGTGCTTCCTTCCGGAATCATGTGCCAATAAAGGACTCGTACCGAACTGTCGGCTGCAGGCTGTCTCCTGGCTAAGGTGGTTTGGTTTTTTATTCACTTTATTCCTGACTCCAGATTGCTATATAGCACCGACCTCTGAACCCGGAGGTCAGGGTTCGATTCCCGGTCGGGGCACAGGCCTGGGTCACAGGCTCCACCCCTATGCGGGGCGTGCAGGGGGCAGCCGGTCCGTGATCCTCACCCTCCGTGTCTCTCCCCTCCCCCTTCCTCTCTGAAATCGATAAAAACACATTAAAACAGACAGACAAGCTCCGGCTGCGGTGCATTCGGCCTTTAACCCGAGGCTCCCAGCCCGGGGGGGGCGTCCCCATAGGCGATGGGTGGTTTCGCTCAGGCAGCACTCTGGGTCCGGGGGACGGGGTCCGGGGGACGGGCTGCGAGGATGTGCTGTCTGTCACCCGCAGCGCCGCCCCAGGGGCTGGAGGGGGTGAGGCAGGAGTCACTGTCCCAGCGGGGAGACGGAAGGGCCCCCACGGGTCCCAGGTAAAACCTGCGTTTTGAGGGACAAAGGGAAGGCTCCTCTCCCGCTGCGACGCTCGCGCCGGCCACCAGAGGGCAGTGTCTCCCAGGAATCTGGCCAGAGCAGGTCTCCGGGCCGCGGATGAGCTAAAGGCAGGCGAAGGGACCAGCTCCCGTTTCCCTCTCAGACACATAAGTAAGTAAGAAAGTAAGTAAATAAATAAATAAATAAGTAAATAAGTAAATAAAAATAGGCCGAGAGACACTGACCCCCCCCCCACGCCCTCCTCCTTCCTTCAAACAGCATCGCAAACTCGCATTCACGGCGGGAGCATCGATGAGAGAGAAACACCGACCAGCCGCCTCCTGCACGCCCCCCACCGGGGATGTGCCCGCCACCAAGGCCCACGCCCTGGACCGGAATCGAACCCGAGACCCTTCCGTCCGCAGGCCGGCGCTCTATCCACGGAGCCACACCAGCCGGGGCCTGGCTCACCACCGGTGTTTCTGTGCCTCTCTCCCTCTCCCTCCCTCTCTGTGAAAAATCAATAAAATGTACATATTTTAATAAAAATAATGAAAAGGACGCAGCAGAGATTTTCAGCAAAAGCGGCAGAGCCGCCCGTGGGACGCCGGCTGCTGGCAGAGGCCGCCGGGGGAGGCCCCTGTGTGCGGGGTGGGTTTTATCTTATTGTTTTTGGAGGTGCGGGGGGCAGGGGGGCAGGGGGATGAGGGGCTCCCCGGGTGGCTCCCCCCTCGGGCCTCTCCCTTCAGCCCCGGCAGCTCTGATCGGCTCTGACGAGCGTTTGGGGCGAAGTGTCGACGCCGTGAACCTGGTTCTCGTCTCGGCGCGCTGGGCGGGGGCGGCCGTGACGCTGGCCAGAGCCGCCGGCTGTTGTTCCTGGTAATTGCCTTCATTACGGCAGAGCGTGTGTCAATCACACCGGCGGCTCCCAACACGCCAGCGGCCGGGGGGGAGGAGGGAGAAAAGCAAAAAAGCAAAAAAGCAAAAGAAAAAAAAGCCGTTCTGTTTGTCCACGGCCCCGAGGGGGGGCCCGGGGGGGCCGGGCCCGTATTGGAAACAGGCGCCGGCAATTTTCCGGGGGATCGCTTCCCGGCGGCGCCCGCGGACTCTGAGCACCAACAGGGAGAGGGGGGCAGCGAGGGGGTCCCGAGGAGCTCATGGGGGCGCGGGCGCAGGTTTTTTTTTTTTTTTTTTTTTTTTAAATGTATTTTCTTGGTTTTTTTAAAATTTTTATTTTATTGATATTTCACAGAGAGGAAGGGAGAGAGATGGAGAGCTAGAAACGTCGATGAGAGAGAAACATCGACCAGCTGCCTCCTGCACACCCCCCACCGGGGATGGGCTCGCCACCAAGGTCCATGCCCTGGACCGGGAATCGAACCCGGGACCCTTCAGTCCGCAGGCCGGCGCTCTATCCACTGAGCCAAACCGGCCAGGGCCCGGTGGTGTTGAACTTCCCAGGGAGACGGATTTGGAAACGCATCTGCTCCGTCGCGCCCGGGCCGTCCACGATGTGGCCGGAGGTCACGGGGTCAGGAGTCTGGAGCCGAAAAGGGGAGACCGCCCGGGACAGTGTCCTGAGCGTGACGGTCAAGGGCAGGGCTCGCCTCTCTTTCCTCAGAGACACCCCATCCCCCCCCCCCAAGTTATCCACCCCCCCCCCCCCTCCGTGGACTCAGTGGGGCTCGGACGGGGTTAAAACGATAAGAAAGGCTGCAGAACCAGCCGCACGCCCCTGCCTCTGGGGGGAACGCCTTCTCCAACACCAGGTGCCTCCGCCAGGGGGCGACGAGGGACAGGGAGAGCCGCAGGGGCTGGCTTCCTGGTCCGGTGAGGGTCCCGGGTGAGCTGTGGATGTCAGCTTGTCCTCCTTCTACCGTGTTTCCCCGGAAATAAGACCTAGCGCAACGTTGGGAGAGAAAATTAATATAAGACACTGTCTTATTTTCAGGGAAACGGGGTAGGAGCCCCATGGGCCCCCACAACCAGGACGTCCCAAACCACACCCCTCCCACTCCCCTGTCTCCCCTTCACCCCTGCCTCCGCCTGTGCCAGCATTCACCCCAATGTCTCTCAGTCCCCTCACCAAGCCTGGTCCCATGCCACCTTCTGCGTTACCCGTCCTGATGTGCTTCCAGAAGTTACAGCCGCCCTGGCTGGTGTGGCTCAGTGGGGGAGCATCGACCGGGAGGTCAGGGTTTGACCTATGAACCAGGAGGTCAGCATTTGACCTATGAACCAGGAGGTCAGCATTTGACCTATGAACCAGGAGGTCAGCATTTGACCTATGAACCAGGAGGTCAGCGTTTGACCTATGAACCAGGGGGTCAGGGTTCGACCTATGAACCAGGAGGTCCTGGTTCGATTCCCGGTCAGGGCACAGGCCCGGCAGCCAATCAATGATTCTCTCTCATCGTCGATGTTTCCCTCTCTCCCTCTCCCTTCCTCTCTGAAATCCACAAAAATATATTTAAGCCTTAACCGGTGTGGCTCAGTGGCCAGAGCGTCGGCCTGCGGACTGAAGGGTCCCGGGTTCGATTCCGGTCAAGGGCATGGACCTTGGTGGCGGGCACATCCCCGGTGGGGGTGTGCAGGAGGCAGCTGATCGACGTTTCCCTCTCATCGATGTTTCTCTATCCCTCTCTCTTCCTCTCTGTAAAAAAATCAATAAAGTATATTTTAAAAAATAATAATTTATCTTAAATGCTGCTTTCTCTCCGTGTGTCTCCGAAGGCGGCTTTTGCCTGCGCCTCGGGGAGGATGGCGGGCTCGGCGATGCTGGCCGGGGCGGGCGAGACAGGGGGGGTAACGATGAACATTATCCGGGCGGGGGGCGGGGAACGTTTTCACGCCCGGGTGGACGGACGCCGTACACCCTCTTCAGGAGGCCCGGACCCTCCCTCCCGGGAGGACAGCTGTCCCCGAACCCCGTCCACACCGTCGGACCAGGACGCGGTCGGTGGGGCCGCGGCCCTGGCCTCCGCCAGGGGCCACCTGTTGCCCGGGTTTGTTTTTTTTTATATTTATTTTATTAAAAAAACATATTTTATTGATTTTTTCACAGAGAGGAAGGGAGAGGGAGAGAGAGCCAGAAACATCGATGAGAGAGAAACACCGACCAGCTGCCTCCTGCACGACCCCCACTGGGGATGTGCCCGCCACCAA